TAGCTTAAGGCCGTTCATGGATACCTCATCCTCTACTCTCGCCGCTACGCCGAACGCTTAGCAAAACTCCAGCGCTACCTTCAATCCCCAACCCATCCCTCATCAACTGAAATTTCTCATGTGTAACATTAAGAGCATTATCTCCCTCACTCTCATCGTTGACAAGTACCCAATCTTGCGCTCTCAGGTCTTCAAGCTTTTAAGATCAAACAGCTTTAAGGGCTTTCTTGACAGGACCTGCTCTTGCCCCTCCCCGCACGCCCTATCATCACCTACATCCTTATCCTATCAAACTTGGACTCTTCTTGATCAAAATTTAGTCGTTTCCTTATACTCGGTTATCTTTCCTAATCTTCTTCCTTATGTCCTATCTTTGGATCACTGTACCGAGATCTGGGACATCATCGTCCGTCGCCTCCAATCATCCACTCGCTCTCACACCATTCAACTTCGCAACGAGCTCCATCACATGTCCATGAAAAATCAAACCATGTCTCAATACCTTCTCGCCATCAAATCCAAAGTGGATGCCATCGCTGCGACCGTATCACCTCTTGATCTCGAATATGTCTTTTTTTTACACTTTAAATGATATTCCCGTTCAATATCAAGCCTTCAAAATTGCCATACGTGCAAACCTTCAACCCCTTAGCCTTGATGACTTATACACTATGTTATGTAGTGAAGAGTAAAATCTTGCTCAAGAAGCGTCCAAAGAACTTCAATCTCTCCGAATTTCCGAACCTACTCTGGCCCTTGCCACCTTGCAGACGCAACCGCAAACAAAACTCCTCCAACTGAGAGGTCGCCCACCCTTTTCTACTCGATCATCCCGACCGCGTTCGAATAAATCGTCCTCCAGCAACATAACATGTCAAATCTATGCTAAAACTTGTCACTCTGCTCTCCGTTGTTGGTATCTCCACGATCCATCATACACCAACGAAGCTCAAAAAGTTGCTCTTTTCTCCCCTTCTGACCATCTGCCTCGCTAGACTAGTATCTTGATAGCGGTGCCACTACTCATCTAACCTTTGATTCCTTACAGCTTCATTCTCTTAAGCCTTACCATGGTTCACAACAAATCACTCTGGTAAATGGTCACTAATTGCCCATTCAACATTCTGGGAAAGGCATTATTCCCACTCCCACATGTAACCTTCATCTTGATTATCTTTCTCACGTCCCTAATTAATTTTTCAATATGATTTCTATCCATCTTCTTACCACCAATAACAACTTCAATGTCAAATTTCCTCCCATGGCTTTCAAATCTTGGATTCGATGATGGGACGCCTTCATCTCAAGGGTCCGTGCCTTAATGGGTTATACCCCATTCAATCCTCCTACTCCCCACAAAATTTTTCTCTCCTTTTGGCTCAAGACGTCCCCAATTTATGGCACAAACATCTCGATCATCTTGCTTCTGCTACCTTAGAACAAATGAAACATTACATTTCCTCCTTATGTACCGACACTTACAATTATCACTATAATTCCTTTCAGCTGGCAAAAATCCACCGCTTACCGTTTAACAAATCTACTATTAATAACTTGTTTCATTTTGCTTTAATTCATTCAGATGTTTGGGGTTCTTCCCCTACTAATTCTATGCAAGGATACAAATACTATGTCTTATTTATAGATATTTTTTTCAAAATTTTGTTGGGTTTATCCCCTCATAAATAAATTTGATGTGATTTCTAAATTCATTGAATTCAATAAAATGATTACTCGCCAATTCAACACCAATATTAAAAATTTTTGCTCATATAGTGGTGGATAGTATATTAATAATCAATTTCAGACCTTTTGCAAATAATGGGGTATAATTCATCAATACACTTGCGCTTATACCCCTCCCAGATCGGCATGGCCAAATGGAAGTATCACCACATTCTCAAAACTACTCGTAGTTTACTCATCAAAGTTCATCTCCCTCAATCCTTATGGGTTGACGCTCTTTTCACTTCCGTCTATATTATAAATCGTATACCCACTCGCTCTCTTCAACACCACAGTCCTTATCACCTCTTCTATAAAAAACCAGCCACATATAAGCATATCAAAATTTTCTCTTGCTTGTGTTATCCATGGCTTCGTCCATGCTCCACCACCAAACTTTCACCTCTCTCCACACCTTGTGTCTTCATCGACTAGGCCTCATCTCAGAAGGGCTATCGGTGTCTCAACCCAACTATCAGACATGTTTATACATCTCGGCACATAATCTTCCCTTATTAAAAATCTTCCACTAACGATTCATCTAGCTTCACTCATAATTTCATACTCATAATTTCATACCCCCTCTCATTTTAGTTCCCACCTCTCTAGTCAACACAAGCAACCAACAGCTCCACCACCATTCCCCAAACTATTACCACGAGCACTCCTAATCCAATTCTTGAACCACATCCGTCTGTGAACACCTCTCATGTTCCCTATCACATCCCTAAATCTAACTCTCATCCCATGCAAATCGAGTTTAAAACTGATCACCTCAAGCCCAAAGCCATTTTTATTCTCTTTCACTCCACTCTCCCTCCCGATCCCACCTCTTATACTGAAGCTGCCAAGCACGAATGCTGGCATACTTTAGTGAAAAAATTTTAGAGCGACATGCTGCTTCTAGGAGATGAATTTCAAATTTAGTTTACAATTGTGATTACTGTAATGCATGATTTTCTTAAGATGAAACACTAACATTCTTTTGTTATAGCTGAGTCATCAAATTTGCACCAATTAATATTCCAGAAGAATTATTTAGTTTTTTATTATCAAATCAATAGTAATCAAATTCATAATTTTGGTTTTAAATTTATCAAGGGGTTAAAAGCAATTTTTTATTGAACATAAGTCCTTAGATTAAGCTCCACTTTTAAGACTTCATTATAAAGTAAAATTATTCCTCATATTAATTTCTCGTATAAGAATCTTTTCAAAAGAACCTCAGGTCCATGACACAGCTAACTTTAATGCTTCTACCTTTATTTGCTCATTAATGTTTTGTTTGATATTGCTTTCTTACTATTTTCTAAAATATTTTTTTAGTATAAAAATTTATAATGCATGAAATATTTGTACCTAAAAACTATGCTTCAAAAAATTATAAGAAACAATCTCAAATAAAGCCTAAAGAGGTCATCATAAATATCATGATGTTGAGCATCTTTAGAATATTGGGATGAAGGAACACCTTACCTGTACATGTTCGATTATTCTAGGATGTGCTCCACTATCCAGTTATTTCCTGCCACTTTATTTCCTGTTTTAATTAGTTGGTGTTTGAGTATAGTGTTTTCTTTTTATCCTAATTTTAGTTTAGGAGGGTTTCAGGAAGCATATATGTTTTAGGAAGAAGAAAAAGCAAGTTAGTTTTTCAATACAAAATTACAAAAACTTAGTTTTCTCTAATGTTCCATTGCTCTCATTATTTGCTAAGTTCATTTTGTACAAGATCACTTACATTAAGTTTAGTATCAGAGCCAGATGTCAGAGAGCAGCAGATGGGTGGCTCCCGGAGATGAACAAAGCTTTGAATCCATGTGGGTAGAATAACGAGGTCTCTTGCAATGCCTAGAGGAGATAGTTGCAGATGTCCATCGAGGTGAGACATTAGAGTGCAATGTTTGCAGCGGACCATCTATGCTCATCTGGAGCGCAATGTTCCGTAGCGGACCATGGCGACAATAAATGTTCTGAACTGCAGGCGTGGACCGGACGGAATACATAATCAAGTGAGGGGCACACCGATTCGTGAAGCATCTGATTCGGTTGAAGAAGCAGAGTAATTCAGAGAGTTGGAATTATCCGATTCAGATGAGGAGATAACCCACCACCGCCGAAGGCATCCGAGAGAGAATGATCGACACCACAGCAAATTTTCACTTCAAAATGGACATTTCGTTCTTCGATGGGAAATTACACATTGAAGACTGTTTATATTGTGAAAGGGCGGCGGAGACATTATTTAAATATATGGAAATCGAACCAGAGAAACATGTCAAATATGTTGCTTGTCGGCTCAAATCGGGAGCCAGTGCTTGGTTGTTACAGTTGCTACAGTCGAGAAGGAGAGAAGGGAAGGGACTTGTGTACAGTTGGTGGAGAATGAAATAATTGCTATGTAGTATTTTTCTACCCACGGATTATAAACAAAGGTTGTATTTTCAATATCAACACTGCAATTAGGGAGGCCGAACATTCAATGACTACACTGAGGAATTTTATCAGTTAAGTGCCAACAATAATCTCAATGAATCTACCAATCAACTGGATGCGAGGTATGTTGGTGGATTGAAAGAGGAGATTCAAGATAAACTTGAATTGAACAGTGTATGCTCCTTGTCGCAAGAGATTAATTACGCACTGAAGGTGGAACTTCAACTAGCAAGACACAGTAGAAGCAACCAAGGGAAACGGGCATCTGAGCAAGGAGTTGATAGTCAGCGGTCCAATAGTTTTAGTGCAACACAAGCAAGAAAAGTGCAATCTCCAGCCACCGGCAATTTAGCTCATGCTGGCATGGGTGCCAGAATGTTGAAGGAAAAACAGCTCCAAAATGAAAAGGGTAGCCCAAAGAAAATTCATATGCAAAAATCATGAATATCAAGTGTTTCAGATGCTTCCAACAGAGATATAAGTCTAATGATTGTCCAACAAGGCCCCAATTATAATTATTAAAGGCAGAGGGGGACGATGCTATGGGTGATGCCGAGGGTGAGCAAGAAGAGTCGCTTAAAGAGGTGGGTGGCGACGAAGGCGAACCTCTCAATTGTGTAATTCAAAAACTATTGTTGGCTCCCCCGACAACCCACCAACTCTCATAGGAATGTCTTTTCAAGATTAAATGCGCCATTAATGGTAAGATATGTGATCTTTTGATCGACAACGGATGCACGAAAAATATGGTGTCTAAGGCGGCGGTGCAAACACTACAACATAAAACTTCAAAAAATTCCAACTTGTACAAGATCAGTTAGGTAAAAAAAGGAGTAGAAATGGCGGTCACAGATTTGTGTCGAGTTCCCTTTTCCATTGGAAAACACAACGCAAGCAAAGTTGTATGTGACGTAATCGACATGGACGTGTGCCACATAATCCTTGGTTGCCCATGGCAATTTGACGTGGGAGCCACAAATGATTGCAAGGCCAATACATACACATTTGATTGGAAGGGAAAAACAATATGCCTGCTGCCAAACAACCAAGGTATTGATTATACGACTGATAAAAATAAAACTCTCATGCTTGTGATTTCAAGTAACCAGTTGTTGCATGCTTGGAGAGATGCATCCCATATTCTGGCATTGATTGTGAAAGAGAAAACCATCGTTAGTGATCACCAAATTGTTCTAGAACCTGTTAAAGCTTTAATCCAACAATTCTCTGACATTGGGTCAGAGAACCTACCGCCGGAGTTGCCACCCTTGCGGAGCATCCAACACCAAATTGATTTAATTCATGGAGCAACATTGCCTAACTTATCGCATTACAATTTGAGTCTGATTGAACACCAGATTCCACAACATATAGTAGATGAACTCTTAGAGAAGTAGCGCTTATACAACATAGCCTCAACACATGCGTTTTTTCAGCTTTGTTGGTACAAAAAAGGATGATAGTTGGAGGATGTGTGTGGACGATAAGGATGTCAATAAAATAATAGTTAAATTCAGGTTCCCCATGCTGAGAATGGATGAATTGTTAGTAAGGTTGGTGGGCTTCCAGATTTTCTCCAAACTCGATCTTCGTAGTGGGCATCATCAAATCTGCATCCGACCCAGAGAAAAATGGAAGACAGCTTTCAAAACGTGTGAAGGTCTCTACGAGTGACACGTTATACCGTTTGGCTTGTGCAATGCGCCATCCACGTTCATGCGGCTAATGAATGAAATTTTAAAGCCTTTTCTCAATAAATGTTGCGTGGCCTATTTCGACAATGTTTTGGTGTTTAACAGCAGTTTAGAAGCTCACACACACCACTTACGAGAAATCTTTGAAACCTTCTAGCGGCACAAGCTTTATCTGAAATTGGCAAAGTGTGAATTTGCAATGGGCGTTGTGTCATTCCTTGGCTTCAAAATTTCAGTCGCAGACGTCAGCGCAGATCCAAGGAAGGTAACATCAATGGTAGAGTGGCCGACACCTAATTCATTCACGGATATAAGAAGTTTTCATGGTCTAGCAAACTTTTACATAAAATTTATAAAAGGCTTTAGCATCATTCTAGCTCCCTTAACTGGCTTGTTGAAACATAAGCAATTCAATTGGAAGACAGAGCACCAGGTAAGCTTCAATGCCATCAAGACCGTATTGTCTTCCGCCCCGATACTGGCCCTGCCTGATTTTGACAAGTCATTTTCGATGGAGACGGACGCCTCTACAGTTGGGATCGGTGCTGTGTTGACACAAGAGGGCAGACCCATTGAATATTTAGCAAGAAATTATGTTCATCCCGACAGCGATGGTCTGTATACAAGCAAGAGTTGCATGCGGTCGCTATAGCCTTGAAACAATGAGAACATTATTTGTTGCATCAAGATTTTATTCGTTGCAGCGACCATAAGGCCCTCCAATAGATAAACAGTCAGAAAAACATCAATCAGTTGCATGCGAGGTGGATTTTGTTCTTATAAAAATTCACTTTTGTGTTGAAACATAAAAGTGGAGCTCATAATAGAGTTGTAGATGCCTTAAGCCAATGGTCCGCCCTCATAACTCCATTGCAAACGGAATTTTTAGGTTTGGAATGTCTACAAGGTTTTTATGCAGAGGATAAGGCTAGGATTTCGCCAAGGCCTAGATTAAATGTCTCAATAAAGAAGCCACTGAAGACTTTACTATTAGACATGATTTTCTGTTTAAAGAAAACCTTTTCTGTGTACCGAATTCTTCATGGCGTCAGCTTCTAATTAATTCAAGTGATCCATGGTGGAGGATTGGCAGCTCATGCATAGCAAGACTAAACACCATCCCAATTGTAAAATAAATTCTATTGGCCGCATATCGGGAGGGATATTATCAGGTATATGGAACGGTGAAAGACTCAATTTGGGAGGACCTAAGCCTTGATTTCGTGCACGGTTTACCACGTACCAAGAGGGGAAAAGATTCAATTATGGTTGTCGTAGATTATTTCTCCAAGATGGTGCATTTCATAGCGTGCAAGAAAACTTCGATGCATTGAATATAACTAAGCTATTCTTTTGGGAGATTGTGAGACTGCATGGGGTGCTGAGAAGCCTCACATCCGATTGGGATGTGAAATTCCTCAATCATTTTTGGTGAGAGTTGTGGAAAAGGTTCAAAACTCGACTTCAATTGAGCTCCGCTTACCACCCGCTAACCGACGGGCAAACGAAAGTTGTGAATCAGACTTTGGGGAATCTACTTCGCTGCTTAGTCCAAGAACAACTAAAGTTGTGGGATGAAGTGTTATGCTAAGCTGAGTTTGCATTTAACTCATTGCCAAATCGATCTACCGGTATGTGCCCGTTTAGTATTGTATATATTAAAATGCCCAACAATGTTCTTAATGTTGCAGTCATCCTGAATTGCAAAAGTAAGGCTACATCAACTTGGGTCAACCAGTTTTCAGAAATGCTGGCTAAAGTTAGCATCAAGTTGCAAGAAACAAATGAGAAATATAAGTTGGATGCAGACCACCATAGGAGGAGGAAAATTTTTAATCCAGGGGACTTAGTTTGGGTACGATTGAAGGAGGAGCGACTGCCAGCGAGAGCTTATAACGAACTTAATCAATGTAAGTTCAAACCATATATTCTCTGTCATGCACCGTATTAACGATAATGCATATGTTATCCAACTGCCCACTGAATTCAACACATCAAGTACTTTCAACGTATGTTTCAGATCTATATATGCCCTTATTTTCGTCCATATGCCCTTAGTTCTTTTGCGGAGGGGAATATTGGGATGAAGGAACACCTTACCTGCACATGTTCGATTATTCTGGGATGTGCTCCACTATCCTGCTATTTCCTGCTACTTTATTTCCTGTTTTAATTAGTTGGTGTTTGAGTATACTACTTTCTTTTTATCCTAATTATAATATATGAGGGTTTCAGGAAGCATATATGTTTTAGGAAGAAGAAAAAGCAAGTTAGTTTTTCAATACAGAATTACAGAAACTTAGTTTTCTCCACTGTTCCATTACTCTCACTGTTTGCTACGTTCATTCTGTGCAGGATCCCATACATCACATCAACATCAAAATACAACTCATGGATACATAGATTACGAGAATGAAGAAAAAAAAAAAACATAAATATAATATCTACATGAAAAGTCGACGGATTTCTGCTGCTATTTTCTTAAAGAAAAGAGCAGTACCAAATTAAAGGTTTAATTAGTTTACTTCAGGACTGCAGCCTGGTGGCACTTTGGAGACCCCTTGCCTTTGCAGCTCTACCAACACGCTCTCAGTGGAGGGAGGCTTCAACCCAAGTGGTAGAGGCAGCCATGGTTTTGCTAAAACATCTCCTATAGCTGCATCTATGCTCTCCTTTGACTGAAAAATAAAAATCATTTTGACCATTAAAGAACATATTGTCGATGATATAGATATGGCTATATATAGAAGGTGGGGATTAGTATAACATGTATTTGCATATCATTTATGCTATCATAGAAGCGTGTTCATAGAGTTGGAAGAGATGGGGAAATACTTCTATTTTTTGTGATTCATCAACAGTTTCAGTGAAAAAAAAAAAGATAAAATATGAAAAATCAAGAACAAGTACATGTTGACTTCATACATAGAGATAATAAATAATAGAATATAATTTTGAGCATAAGAAATGATGTGATGAAGTGCTTGAAATTTTGTGTACATATTGCTTAATTTGTGGTTATGGCATTCAAAGCAAGGAATTTCAATTTTGGAGATCTCAATTTCATGCAAAGCAAGAGGATGGGGTGTGGCTTAACACACATAAATCATCTAAATTAACATTAAATTTGTTTGGAATTACTTTCTTACTGCTTTCTAAAACAACTTTTTAGTACAAAATTTCCTATTTCAAAAAACTTTTTTATCAGAAAGCTGTTTTAAAAAGTAGCAAAAAAGTCGTCCCAAATAAAACCTAAAAAGCTTTCTTAATAAAAAGAGTTGAAGTGCAAAGAAGCCACTTCGTCTAGTTTACATGAAGGTTTATTGACCAATTGTCCAAAAATATGTCAATAAGCATCACTACTTTAATTCTTACTTTAATTGTCCAAAAATATGTCATCCGATTGCGTATTAAATGTCTCTAATTATGAGTTTAATGCATTACTATGGGATGCATAATTGTAGAAAGAGAACCAATTCATAAGGCTAAATGAGCATAGAGTGATTAATCGGTAATTTTCCTCCTACATTGATAACATGTAAGTTTTAACTGCACAGATAAGAAGTCTGAAACTTTCAGTACATTTAACAGCAAAGAAAATAGTTCATGCTATACTGAGATATACAATACGAAACCATTAAACTATGTTATCATGAAACCAATTAGTTGTACACTTCCTAGTTCCCATCTAAGCAATCAAGAGGGTACTGCAGACCCGAGCATTAATCTTGTTCAACTAAAGCTTCATTTGGAATAATTTTTTTGTTACTTTCTAAAAAAACAGTAAGTAAGTTGCCCCAAATCAAGCCTAAGCTCAACGCACATTTACTTGATCATGCATGGACTACAGCTTCATTTGAGACCGTTTTCTTATTGCTTCTTAAACAGCTTCTAAGGCTTCGTTTGGGACGGCTTTTTTATTGCTTCTTAAAGCAGCTTCCTTGTACAAAAAATAAAATTTTTGTACAAGAAAGCTGCTTTAAGAAGCAATAAGAAAGCTGTCCCAAACAAAGCCTAAGTTTAAAAGTTTAAATTTTTATACTAAGAAGCTGCTTTAAGAAATAGTAACCGGCATGGGTTCTAATTTTAAGCGTGCAATAACAAATCCAGAAAATACATGATAAGAAAATAAGCGATATAATTAATTTTATTTAATATATATATATATATATATATCAACTTAATCAAATGAAAAACATCTACTAAGAAAATAAAAGCCAATCGATAAGAACATAAAATTTTTAAAATTCTTATGCATTTATGCATCTAACATCTATATTTATTTATTTGTATATATAATAGCTTAATTCTTAAATCATGCAAAAAAATATTAGTAATATTTATTTTTATAAAATAAAATACTTTTTCTGCGCAAATTAATATAAAATTAAAATTTAATATATTAATAATAAAAGGAAGATTTACATACATACCATCTAATACTATTCTATTTACCTATTAAACACTTAAAACTTTAATATTACATACATATCACCCATAGTTCATTTTCATATCAAATATGAGTGGTAGAAATGAAATATATGAG